AGTCACAGGGCAGGACCCAGCCGGAGGGGAAATGTCAAAGGAAGAAACGCTAACGGAGAGCACGGCTGCCTGAGGAGCACCGGGGAGGATGATGCAGGTGCGTGTGAGAGCAGGGACTGCCATTGTACGAAAAATATCCGAGGGGCAGAGGAACAGGGTGGCCATGCCTAACGCTGCTGGAGCCTTGTGCGATGGCGTTAAATGGTTTGTGCACGTGTCTTGGAAGAAACGAGACACAGTATTTTTCTGTTGTGCCTGTTAAATCTTGTATCTTCTTAGGAAAAATAAAACTGGGAGAACTTGGAAAGTTTGACAAATTAGCGCATGCCACGACAAGCCTTCCACTTGGTCACTGCTAAGTGACCAGGTAATTCAGATTTAGACAGCAGCCGTGCCATTACGGTACTAAATCAAACCATTTCCTTTAAGTGCATATGGTCATCTTTCACCAAGGCAACATAGATTTTCTCATTTCCTGCCCATCCATCTTCCTTCCTATCTCTCCGATATTCATAAGGAAAAAAAAAATAATTCAAGAGGTAATTTTTAGCACAGCAATATCCTGTGATTAAAATCCATGTGGGTTACAATGGTGATGCTGGGGAAACATTTTCACCTGTGTAACCACAGCTACTTCAGCACTGCTTGGAGCTAGCTGTTTGTACCAAGTGGTCATATATAGCAGACCTTGACAGCTGTAAAAAGAAAAAAAGTAAAATATACTACAAAGGCTTGTTAAATAAGACTTGCAGGTTGCTGCGTAAGCTGTGGTATGCTGAAGCAGAACCGTAATTTTCTAAATAAGCTTTATGCACAGTAACATTAATTGATCAAATCAAGGTTGTTTTATACCTTCTTCAGATCATGCTTCAAACAGCTGGATCTCCAAATTGCATAAGATAATAATTTGCTTAAAACCCTGCAGTTCAAGATATAATTTAAGAGGCTCAAAAACTTTAATTAATGCTGTCAAATCAGACAAAGCGTAATGGAGTCAATTACTTATATCATTAAGGGGTAAAATTAGTCTTAATTTAAAATGGATACTTTCCTTCTAGGAACCTCTGTTCAACTAAGAGATTTGTAAATCTCATTTCCGTTGCACCAGTAATATGAAACTCTAGTGAGGGAGGTAGATAAGCAAATCTTCCTTTTTCTTTGTGAGGTTTGCGTGTTGATTTTGCTATATTACAGGCTAGCAGTCATTACCATGTTCAACAGTACAGCAGCACGTCAAGGACTGCTCGCTACGGCCACCCTAGATCTAAGTTTGCATTAATTAGAACTAAGGTTTGCGCTTTCTCCATGGTGTAGGGACACCTACATTAGCACAGAGTAGGGACATTAGTCGGATGCTAGCTGAACATCATTTTCACGAAGGGTTTTTCTTTCAAATGCCATATATTGATGTTAAAAAAATACCCTCATTAAATGTCACAGCACAGAATACTTCACTAATTTTATCAATTAGATATATGTTGTGTTTGTAACGGTAACTCTTTCCTACAAACTATTAAAAAGGTAAACATCAGCCAGATCGATAGAGGGGATCAGCATGATGCATTGTGGCACACGAGGGGCAGGCACCCCCCACCCAAGACGATTCACATCAACCTCCCCCACACACCAGGACCTCACTGGAAATTAGTCCATTTCCCCCCATCTCCTGTTCACCTCAAAGAGAAAGTAACAATTTTACTCTCTAGTCTAACTTGATACGTGGGACAAATTCCCAGTTTGCCTGTGGACACTGGTTTCCTGAGACTGTGTGCCTGTTACACGTGGTAAGGGGGTCCAACCTGGGGCTCTCCCATTGCTTTCTGTTGAATGGGATGACTAAGTAACCACAGAAAGGGTGTCAAATCTATCAAATTCAAGGGAAAGTGCTCCTCATGTACTTCGTGACCACATTCTAAGATAAGTCCACCCTTCTTCCACCTGTTACCAAGAGCAGCCCTGGAAGGAGTGTGTGTTGGCATGAGCGAGCTCTGCACCAAACAAACCACCTGCTGCAGATGTCTGTGGCTGCCTGCTCCTGGCAATTCAAACCAGGAACCGAGGACGGATTCCCTCGGGGAAAATCCCAAAACAAATTGGTTTGTCCCGCTGGCTGGCTCTGCGGCTCACAGGGCATCTTGCAGCTGCCCCAGCCAACGCTCACTGCCAGAGGCGCTGCTGGAGCTCCCAAAGGAGCCAGGACGGGCACAGCACCATGGCCGACTGCATCTATTTCTCCTTGCAATGTGAGTGTTGCCCCTTATTGGAACCTCTATTACAATAACATCAACCCACTACCTATTTTTCTCACAGACTGATGTTTGCAGTTGTGCAGGTATAACACTGACAATTTAAAGAACGTAAAAAACCCAAACAACTACCCTGAAGCATGTAAGGATACCATCATTAACAGGACCAGAACTGAGACAGTCATTAGACAAAATATAGCGATGCAAATAATATACTGTACTTTACCAAGTTGCCATTTTTTTGAACACATTGTCTCCATCATCCAAATGGGTAATGCTGGTTCAAGCATAGCAATCGCCATGTTTGCAAAGCAGATTGATCCTTAGAGAAAGAAGAAAAAAAACCAAAAAGTAGTAATTATTTCTTTTGACTATGAACAAAAATCCATGCAAAGAATGGATGCTTTCTTTTACAAAAAAGTTGCATTTTTACAGTCCTATTTGTCATGCATCAAATGTTGATTAATGTTAAATAGAACAGAATGTAAAATCACTGAAGACTAACTTTCTATATATTTCTATTCTCCTAGAAATTCTACAATAAAGGTTAAGCTATTTTCATAATGTGAAAGTCTGCAGTGAGCTTGATGACATTTAGAAAGTTCATGAGGTCTGACTGTTGTTCAAATGATTAACTAAAACTACAATCTTTTGGTCTTTATCCAGTCTCCTGGGGCAAAAAAAGAGCCCTGTTGTGTAAGAGGCACAGGTTCTGACCCTATGACTCCATCACCTGAGAATGACTATGATGAGATGTGGAGGTCTCGATCCTAAGAATACCACGAGACAACCACAGAGATGTCTACGCTCTACAAAAGGGAATTTTGTGTAGAGATCCTATAGCTAGCAGCCAGTAAATCCATGCAGCAAAGCATGGGTCTGGCTGGGCTTGCCCAGCCCTATGAATTTCAAATGATTCCAAATCTCTTTTGAATTTCTGGACCTTTAGTCACCCAGATGCAAAGGATAACAAGCGGTGGAAGCGCCGATTCAGTCGTGCCTGCCGGCTCGGCTCTGCCCAATGCCACCGCCTGCAGATCCAGACTCCAGCGGGTTTGTGCCAAGTTCATCTATCCTCAGCAGTGCACTTCAGCTTAGCGCAGGGATCATTAAACCCCACGGTATTTCTCTGGATTCAGGATGCCTTTCCCACTTACTGAAAGGAATGCGAGGCAGTCGGAGCCTAACGCAGGGCAACAGCACACGTGCCCTCTGCTAACCCCTTGCGAAATGGCTTTCAAGGGAATTTGGAAGTCACTAGAAGTGACAACTTCAAACTTGTGTTCCCACTTTTTTTCCTAATACTTATAATCTCTGAAATTTAGGAAAAATATTCTAGGTTCTTACAGTCATTTACCATCCAAATTCTACTTTTTTTTTTTTTAAAAAAAAAAGCTTAATTTGTCTGAGGTCAGAGAAATAATATTTCTCCTGGAACAAGTTCCTCATCATACAGTTCAAAACAAAATGAGCACTGATGTCATTCTTTGCTCAAACCTGTCAGAATATATTAGACTGTGTATCCACAATTCCTAAAACGAACTTTGAGGCTAGCTGGCTCAGTCCCTTCCCGGGGCAAGGAGCAACAGCTCAGCACTGCTTTACCTTCCAGACGACAGGTTGGAGCCCAAGCTAACCTTTCCACTCTGCTGCAAGCTCCCATGAGCGTAGTGGCTGTGAGGAGCCTCAGTTAAACCCCTCAGGGCTGCCCTCTTCCGAGCCAACATCAGCCACGCGCGAGCAGCTTGCTTGATGCTGGAGAAACAGTTCAGGCCACAGAAAGTGCAGCGCTGTTCTAACAGAGATGGCTTAAACAGGAAAGGTCTTATTCTACTCTTAAACTTCACAAAGAAATGAGAAACAAGTGTGCACACACACATTGTATCTATTTCTCATTAGTTCAGGAAGCATCAGCAGGGCTTACCAAAGTAGTCAGGTACACGGTGACAAAGGTACTTCAGATCTTCAGGATGTGCCCCAAAAGGAAAGCGAGAGCCTGAGCTGCAAACTCAGGGCAAAGTCCAATGAAGACTGTGCTACCTTAGTGAAGCTTCCCCAAAAGAAATTTTTTTTTTTTCCCTGTCCTGCATGCAGCTGACTTCTCTTTAGAAGGCTATTTCTCAAAGGCATAAATCATACATTGTTTCTTCTTTAAATAAGATGGTTGGCCAGAAGGTGTGAAATTGCAGCCTTCCAGCTGGACCCCATCTCTGCAGCTGAGAACCCACTTGGCTTTTGGCAGAGTGCTGTAGCCATCACTGGCATTTTTCTGTGAAAAAGCGGGTAGCCAGTGAAAAGCTGTCACACGCCTTCTCAAGAACCCATGTGCTCGTGATGACGTCTGTCTCAACTCTGATAAAGTAACTTGTCTGTCAATGCCACGTTGTCAACCAATAGCACCTAAAGTTTTCTTAATCCCTGTCAGTGAGGTCTAGCTGTGAGAATGACGTTGACTTCATTCACTGAGCTCCTACCAGCAGCGCCAAAACATGTCAGTAACGCTTCTTTCGCCTGGGTACTGATGGCACTGACTGAAGCATCACCTCTGACACAAACCACACAGGACGCAGAGTCCGTATTTGCTCACATTTCCTTTCTCCTGCAGAGGTTTTCACATGAGCATGTTCAACAGGAACGGCCACAGCGCGTCCTGCAACAGCTACTGCTGGCACCAAAGGCGACCAGGCAGCAGGACTGGCTGTAGGGATTGCGATACAGAGTGAGTGGCCTCCAGTCTGTTGTGACGGTCACCGTTATTATCTCACGGGCAACGTGAGTTATCAAGGGAAAAAGTCACACTTTCAGAAAGAAGAGAGAGCAACACCATGCTTGAGTTCAAGACACCTTGTGTTAGAGTAATACTGTGCTATAGATAAGACAAATTGGTCAGAAAGTGCTTGTACTTTGAGAATACAAACAATTATGACTCAAGTGTATGACGCACACTCAGGAGATTGAATCTGAATTTATACCATTAAATTAGTGTACCTAAATTGAGAGTGCAAAAAACACTTAAACTGCTAATCCATTTGCAGCATGCCTAAAATGTCCCTGATTTTTACTTCTGGTTAACAAGTCAGCCCACTAGAGATGCAGACATTTTCTTAATGAGGTAGTTAACTGCCTTAAAAGCCATTCAAAACCTTTAATCTCCCTGAGCAGTGCAAACCCAATAGGATTTTTAACTTTCCCCTCTCTAATTATTGTATCTGAACATTATACACAGTGAGGGACATTAGCATTTACAGGACCCTTGTGAAGCAGAAGACCTATTATCCCAGCTTAGACATGGAGAAATGTGGCATGATGCCTTGACCGGTTGCCCCAAGGTGTCAGAGCACGGAGCTAACTCTGCCATCCCAACCAACCGCCTACCCACCTTTCCCTGTTAGCGTCAGGATCACAAGTTCCCATCTTAGCAAATAAAGCAAGGAAAATACCAAATTCCTTGGGGTAAGGGAGAGCAAATCAAACTTTCAGATCCTTTTCACTAAAAAAGCAACAGCTTCAGAACTGAAGCAATTAACATTTAAGCAGTGTATTCCTAGTGCATCAAGAAAGCTGCTTTTGGACTGATGTGGACTCATAGGCCAGATAAAAGGCTGAATTCAGAGTTGGTACTTGGGAGTCAGCTCTGAGAAAGCAAAATTTGGTCTGCAAGGGAAATGAAGCAGGAGAAGAGGCTGAGGTTAGAGAACATCAGCATCATCTGTACTGTCAAAGCACTGGCCAGTCTCTATCCTGGGAGGCAGAGACCCTGGGTGCCATACCTAACCCCACCAGTAACCCACCACAGGGACCTTCTCAGGGTGGGATGCCTGGTGGGAGCAGGACAAGTCACCCAGAGCAGTTGGTGAGAGCAGGAGGGATTGGAACAAAGAGGGTCTTTATGTTTCTACCCCTCCATACATCCTTCCTTTCTGAGACTGCGCAGCCCTGCTTTACAGAGCCCCAAAACATCAGCTGAAACAGCTTCAGAGAAGAGAAAAGCTGCAGAAGTTGAATACCATGTGAATGTGTTTGTTAGAAAATGGGAAGAAAATCCACCCCTGCTGTTAGCAGACATGGGAGATGGTCAAAATAGTGGGATCCATGGTCTTTGGTACCTTTTATCTTCTGTGGCTACAGCTAGCTTGGCATGAGCAGCTAAGTCCTAGTGAAGTGCAGTCCTTGAAATCTGTCCCCCGGTCATATTTTGTGGTTTAAACCAAGTTCTGTCATAGATTAGACCTTGGCAGGAATTACATTATTCTCCAAAAAACTACTTTATATGCTAGATGAACCTCACCTTGCAGCACCCGCTTTAAGCACTGTAAGGGACAAGGTGCTGAATGAGGTGAATGATAGATCCGATCTCTTAAGACAGACTTAGGGTAATGGTCATTCCCTAAGACCACCAAGAAAAAGTGAACCCAAAAAATGCCTGGAATAATTGCTTTCTTGGACAACCAGGTTAGGATTAAGGAACAAAACTGTGAAATTTACAATCACTTTTCAGATATTTTATGAACATTAAAAAGGGCCAGGCTTAATTACAGACTTCAGAATAAACATTCAACAAAATGCAACACAAAGAGGCAAGCTTCCCTTGAGACAGAAAGACTCATTAGACAACTGACACATGTAATACCAAGCGCCATCCACCATTCAACCCAGACCTTTTCTGAAACATAACCCACACTCTAGAGACCAAACTCACCCGCTCTTCAAACACAAAGAAAGTTCAGTGTTATGCCCTACACCTGCCTGTGATGTGCTGGCAATCCCTCCCTCTGAAAGCCTTGGCACTATTCACTTGCCTCATAGAAAGTTTCATGACCACATCCCGTTGCCTTAGCAAGCAACCACAAGCTGTTAGTGTCCCCTCAGCTGGAAGGACACCTTCATTTCAAACTTTCTGCCTGTTATGTTTCTACTGGTATATTCATCCTGTAAAACCAACAGATTATTTTTTTTTCTTTGAGCTTTACGTAAATGAAACCAGAAAATGACAATATTGTTAAACCAGCTCAGCCTGAGGCATTCCAGGATGCCAGCTGTAACACTAGCAGTTGCTTTAAAGAAAAAAGAAAAAAAAAGGA